AAAGTTCACTCTGCTGTGAAAATTTAAAAGTTTAATAAATCACAGTAGGGGACAGAAAGCAAAAGGATACGGTGCCTGAGGGGGCACTGGGTGCTTGGCGATCTGCCAGAGGCACACCTGCTATTGACAGGAGACATCTTTAAATACATTTTATATTGCATCAGCTTAATATCTATTCATAGGCATTTATGCATATTCAAACTTTTCCAGGAGCTGTTCAGCATGGCATCTCCTCCAGTGTAGCCCCTGTTCCGTGGTTTCAGCAGATGACAGTTGTTGATAGGGCAGTGTCCATAGCAGGGCCCTGGGCTGTCCATGCAGATAATCCCATCCGAAGGTTGGGGTCCCACCAGCCTTGGCTGGGGCTCCTTTGGCAGCAGAGGATGGACATTCCACGAGCTCTGACCAGAGACTTTTCACCACACATCCCAAAGCCTCTGTTCCTTCCACCCCTTTCACTGTCAGGGTCTGTGCTGGCCTGGCAGCTGAGAGCTCTGACCAGAGACATTTCACCACACATCCCAAAGCCTCTGTTCCTTCCACCCCCCACCCTTTCACTGTCAGGGTCTGTGCTGGTCTGGCAGCTGACAGCTCTGGGGCGATGGCCTCCCCACCCCGAAGGTGTTAAACATCAGCATCGTGATCTCTTTGTGAATGTATGCATCCTTTTCCCCAGCTCTGAGATGCTTCTTATCTTTAAGGACCATTGCCATCAGGGCCTCATTCAGAGTTTTTTGGTGACTTTCTTTGCAGCTTTTGTATAGTTTTGCTATAATATGAAAAATATCCTTTATGGAAATGTTTAAGTCACAAGCCATAACATTTCAGTCTAACTACAAGTATTCATTACTATGTCTGAGTTACAAAAGAAAAACAAACCCATCAGTGATGATTTTACCACTCTGTCTGCATAACTAAGCTACTTATGCAAAAAAGGCAACATTGCACACATAACACTCATCTTAATATTTGCAAAAGCCAACACAATGTGTTTATAACAAGACCTAGTAGTGCGAATAGCCAATTTTTCTGCTCCTTTACTTTAAAAAACTATAGCATTTTACTTTGCTAGGAAACACAAAGCTTCCTCTCTCGAGTCAAATAGGCAAGCAGAGTTACGTGTTCAGAATGTGTGCCCAGCTCTGGAAGGAGAGCCTGGGAAATCCTGAGTCCCTGCAGGGGCTCCCTCGGGCATCGCCGTGGTGCCAAACCCTCCGAAATGTGGCTGACCCGACTGAAGTCGGCTCTTCTGAAAGGCTTGTTGTGAAAAACGAAGTTCACTCTCCTGTTAAAATTTAAGAAGTTTTAATAAACGACAATAGGATACATAAAAGCAAAAGGATACGGCGCTGGGTGCTTGGCTGTTTGCCAGAGGCACACCAGGTATTTATAGAGACTTCTTTAAATACATTTTCATATTGCATCAGCTTAATGCTTATTCCTAGTCATTTATGCATATTCAAACTTTTCCAGGAACTGTTTAACATGGATCCACTTTTCAGAGCATGGGCAGTGATGATGTTTATGCTCCTGGGGTCGTGTGTGTGGCCCCTGTTCCGTGGTTTCAGCAGATGGTTCTTGTCCATGGGGAAGTGTCCATAGCAGGGCCCTGATGGGGCACAACACCCCTGGGCTGTGCATGCAGCTGTGATTGTCTGAAGGTTGGGGTCCATACAGATGTGATTGTCTGAAGGTTGGGGTCCATACAGGTGTGATTGTCTGAAGGTTGGGGTCCATACAGATGTGATTGTCTGAAGGTTGGGGTCCATGCAGGTGTGACTGTCTGAAGGTTGGGGTCCATGCAGGTGTGATTGTCTGAAGGTTGGGGTCCATGNAAAAAAAAGCTGGTAAAAGATGGTAAAAGATGGTAAAAGCTGGCATCCTTAACTATACTGACTGTATTATGAGCTCTAGGATTTCTCAACCTGAAACTCTGAATTTACTCATGATTTAGTGTGGTCTAAGAAGTTCTAATTTGGACATTCTATAGCTTTAGTGTTTCATGCTAATGAATGGCATGGGTTAGAGAGTTCAGCACCAAAAATGTTAAGAAATGTCAAGACCTTTTTAATCTATTCTATCAAAGAATAGGTTTCCATTTCGTTGGCCAAATCATCAAGCAGACTGTCTGGATAAAGGATTCTGGAATAATCTGCTACCTCCTGCAGTGCAGTTCAAATTTGTTCATCTCCAGGAATCTGAACTTCTCCATGAAGATAATCCAAAAGATATTTAAACTGGTTTGCATCTCGATTAGTTAGACATGTGCCTGAAAATATAAAAGTATTTAAAATACTGTTTCCAGCAAACGAAGACAAACATGTCATGTTCTACCAAATCCTCAAGTAGAGCTTTTGTACAAAACTTCTGTACTGGTTTTACTTGGGAGGAGTAAGTGCACTGCCTCTACTCTTTTAAAATGGTATTTTGTTTCCCTGGAATATTTGTTATTGAAGATAAAATTCTTAGTGTAGCAAACACTTCTTTGGAATTTCAGTGAAATCATTGATCTGCATGGGACCATAGCGACATAAAACCTCAGCTGTGCTGCATTCCTCTTAAAATGCTAAAATCTAATTTCTAGATGCATTACTAATTCTAACTGCAGGTGCATCTTTACTCATTATTGCAGGTATTTTTTTCAGTTTTGCTTCTAGACTGATTAAAAGAGTTAGAATCAGTTCCAGTACACATCTAGTCAAACCTTCCCTGAATATTGCTCAAGTTTTACTGTATTTGTTTCTTTTTCTCTCCTTTGCCTGGAGGGCTCRAGGACCCTAAGAAAACCAACCAAATCATATGGACTGTGCAACAGCTGTTCACTGCAGCTGTGAAAGAGAGGAGCAAAGTCCTGCCCATAAAAACATTAAACATTTTGGGTATTTTAAAGAGTCATGTATTCCTTGTATGCAACAAGGAATTACTGTTCTTCATCCCTCATGGCTTTTAACTGGACATACTTTGGCAGGATTTCTAAGTCACAAGCAAGTGTGAAATTTGACCCATGAATAGTTTTATTCAAACTGTTATATCAAGCCATGGTGGTGAAAAATGCAATCTTTWCTTGGTAATGAAATATTCCGAAACAAGATTAGACCCAAATCTCTTTATATAGTGAACAGAGGGAATGAGATGCCTCTGGAGAGTATAGGGGTTCACAAACAGGATCCAAAATAAATGCCAAATACTCTGCCAACTTCAATTTTATCTGGATTTCTATTCTTACTGAATAATTRCATTCCAAAGCCACAGTTTGGTTTGGGACAATGCAGAAGTTAGCACTGTACAAWTGTGTGTGTTTGCAAGCATGAGTAGACTCGTGGAATTCACATGAACTACCTGTGCATATGCAGTCATGCATGCAGAATTGTTTTACATCCTGGAATTGGAAGCCAACTGATCCTTGGCAGATTGGGAAAAGATATTATAAAATGCATAAATATATATATGTATGTATAAAAGCATGTATTTGCCAGAGAGCTCCCTGACCAGAGTGTGGTATTTACAGCTTCAATTTATTTACCTGATTCATCCACTTTTAAAGGAAAGTGTCCCTAAACATGGAAGCCAGCATGGAGTCTCTGAAGTGGCACAAAGACTCGCATCTGGCTGTGTATAAACAACCTTGCACGTTCAGTTGTAGAATATCCTGGACATTTTTAAACTTGCCCTCTTCCATGGCATTTGTCAGTGATGATGCTCTTTATGAGCTATTCCAACCTAAAGCAGATACAAACAGAAGTCAAACTAATGCCAGCTACAGACTTAACATATCACATACAAGACCTAAGCAACAGCTCAGCTCTGTAACACGATACCACTTTGAAAACAGTTCTGGAGACTGTGAAAAACAAAGTTCACTCTGCTGTGAAAATTTAAAAGTTTAATAAATCACAGTAGGGGACAGAAAGCAAAAGGATACGGTGCCTGAGGGGGCACTGGGTGCT